TATATATCTGACTTTATGGATGTAGAATAAGCCTCAATGAGAATGTCTCAGCGGGGGGGGGGGGGGTGGTTTGTGGGGTCCGTGCAGGGGGTGGTGGAGAATGAAAGAACACACAAAAGACAAAGACACACAGAGAACATGGCGGCCCAGCTCAGAGCCTCCGCCTCACTTTATTTAATAATCCCATAAACCCACGTCAGCAGAAAGAATGCATGCAAAACGAAACACTTTCTTTTCCCAGATGTAACCTCTGCTACTCAGTTCTTTGTTTCCTTAATGCTCTTCTCGGTTATCCCTAAGCCCGCCTTCTTGGCGGCCTACCTGGGAGTTCATTAAAAAGTTCAAATTAGAATACTGTCCTTCTGAGCCTATCTATTCTCGGCATACTGTTTTCAAGGCCCCTGGGCATCTTCCCCCCTTTTTTTTTGTTTTGTGCCTTCAATCCTAAAAAGGTATGCCCATTTTGTTCTGTGTTGTTTTCTTTTGTTTTTTGGAGCGACGGAGGGGCATCGAATCACCAAAAGACGGATGACCGCATCCCAAGTGCCCCAAGCCAAATATACTATCGAGAGATTGGTAGAAATCCAAGATGTGCCTTTCATTCTGGGTTCCAATGGGGTTAAAGGCCAGCAAGGCGACTGACCCAAGAGCTCCTGAACGGTTACAGTTCCTCGGACCACACACATGTAATGTGTTGGTCGAAATGCATCAGGACAATCGTTGCTGAGTGAGCTCTTGGATGTCACAAACTAACTTTTTTTTATGGCCTATTAATAAGTTTCTCAGTACGGCACATTTACGGCAATTTGAGAGGATGTTAAAAAGCACAGGCGTTACACAAAATTGCAGTGGCAGTTTCCAATACAATTGTAAGTTTGATTCCGAAGTACTGAGGACAAGTGAAGCTGATCTCCAAGGCACCATGTCAAGGCTTGTTCCATGTTGTCCCATCCTTTAGCAAGTTGAGAGAATCAATGTTTCGTTGTTGAATGCCATAACCGGTGAGATTGGGTTCGTGCATTTGCTGCACAAATTCAAGCTGATTTGATAATGCTTGATGAAGAGCGAGCGCTCTGCCTACGGACCGCAGATGGAGACGGATGAGCGACAAGGTCATCCAACGCGGGGAAGGCAATTATACAGTCCAAGGGCACGGAGGGGGTTCGCTGGAGAGAGTTTCAAATATAAGTCATCAAGAACAGGTGATGCCCCCAGTGGTCGCTTTCCTCTCGGCCATTTGTTTTTTGACTTACTCTTTTAGAGTCCTAAGTATTTCTTTAAATAATGGTCACTGTTTCACCTAAATAGGAGTGGTGGCCATGAGTTTAAAGGATTGTAGCCCATTTTGAACATCATATTTTTGGCAGCTGAGGAAATATGAGGAATGTTTAAAAAAGCAGCAAACTGTTGTGAAAGATCTTGTTCCCAAAAATTAATATTGATAGGAACAATATAAAAATTAAAAAAACACTTGACCTTGTTGACCTTTAGGACCGACACAGGTTAAAGGTTCTACGTCTTGATAAACCACAGAAGTAGCACCCAAGCTAGTGAGTATAACTGAAACTTGTCTTTTTTCCCATTATATAGGCCACTAATTTAAACAAATAATAGACATATTCACCCTCGTATCAATTAACCCTTTAAAAACTATTTCATTAATGTGCAATGAACATAAGAGCTTTTGATTAGAAACTAAAGTTTCCCAAAAAACATTTTTTTCTGTGCTACCAAACCCTCCCTATTGAGAATACGTTCCCCTGCCTCTAGGCATATAAATTGTGAGACTTGAA